CCCACGTCCCCTGCATCGGCAGGCGGACTCTCAACCACTGCGCCACCAGGGAAGCCCTAGAGACATTTTTTGTTTTCATAACTGAGAGGGTGGGATAGTAGTACTGGCATCTAATGAATAGAGACCAGGAATATTGCTACCCATCCTGCAATGCACAGGACAACCACCTATAAACAAGAATTATCTGGCCCAAACTGTAAAGGTTGAAAAACCTTGTATATCATTGGCTATTCTCTTTTGCTCAAATATTTGGTGGCACTTGGGATTTCAAAAGAATATAATTCCTGCATTTCCCCAGGTGAGTTAATCACTACTATTCCAGTTTTGTTCTGTTGTTTTCAGCTAGAGGGTTAAAAAGACAAAGGTGGTTTTTGGACTTCCCTGGTGGTCCGGTGGCTAAGACTCCATGCTCCCAGTGCAGCAGGCCCAGGTTCAATCCCTGGTCAGGGAACTAGAACCCACATGCGTGCTGCAAATAAGTGTACTCATGCCACAACTAAAAGAGCCCACATGCCACAACTAAAGATCCATATGCCGCAGCTAAGACCCAGTGCAGCCAAACAAATAAATATTTTTTAAAAAAGATGCCATATTTAAAAAAAACAGGACAAAGGTGGTTCTTTAAATATGGGCCATAGATCATAGAATCATAGTATTCTCTATGTCTAACATGTAGTTTGCATAAAAATGTTGAGTTTTATAAATGCATTTTATATAGCCTTTAAGTACTGACCAAAAGCATAAAAATTGACACCTGGATAAATGAAAAATTCTAAAAATTATGTCTAAAGGAGACAATAAATTTTCCATTGATAAGTTGTCACATGATAGAATGTCATGGGTGGGTCTTTTGTTCTTTTTAAGTACAAAGTTTAAGGATCACTTTTTTTTTGAAGACTGTATGATGTATCTATTTAAAATTTTTGTATGTGTGTGCTAAGCCTTAAATATTGTGTCTAGCATATTTTCTGTGTTATTTCAATAACAGCCCAATTTTGCTATTGTTATCTGTTCCATTTCTCAAAAGGGTGTGAGGTTTGAGTGCTGCATCAGAACAATCTCCAAAATGGATTGTGAGTACAGAACTGCCGAGTCTTTAGCATCTGAATGGTATGCTTCATTTCCTTTTTCCTGAATTTTCATCTGCTATTTCCTGTCTCCCTATCTTTAAGATCATACTAATAGTGCCAGGGAAGGGGAGCACTGGCAGTATGGGGTTGTGGTAGTGGTTTTATAGGGGAAGAATGGCTGGGGAACACTGGGTATATTAAGGGCAAAGAGTTGGAGAGCCTCTGAGCCATGAAATTATAAGGTGATAGCATTATGTACCTTCATGAGTCCTTGTCAAATTATTGTTCTAATTCAGCAAATATAGAATTGGGTAAAATGTTTATCGAAATATGAATTAGAATCACTTGGCAACAGCATGGTAGAATTTATGTTAGAGTTAATAATCACTGAGTTTGGTCAAAATCACCCTTGCTATGTGTTAATAACTTTGCCGATAGCCACAAATGAACGTATAAACCCAATAGAGTGTGATATTTGAATATTTCTTTTTCCTCAGTTTCTCTTGCTTCTCAAAATTGATCCAGTTGTGATGTCTGAAAAGGAATTATTAGTGTTATCTATAGGATGGTGAACAAAAAGAATTCCATTTTCAATTTCTAGTCCTTCTATTCCTAGAAGTTCGGGCTGTCACTGGTAATATGTGATTTCATTTCTAACTCTAACTATCTCCAGCATTTCCTCTTGATGATTCATCATAGTACAGTAAGATCTCAGTTATCCAGGTAAAAAAGAGGCAAGGAAAACTCATGCATAACCCAGGAGAGTGACTAAAACACAAATCATTCAGTTGGCTTAGAAATCTGTTCTTCCTCTGGCTGAGACTGATGCTTTTGCAATTCATGATCCTCTTTGGAGCCCCAATTTAGGAAAAGCATGTTGGGAAGTGATGAATGAATGAGTCAGCCAATAAAGGTTGAGTTCCTATCACATGTCCAGCACTACTAAGGGATTAAAAACTGTAACATAGGGTCCTCTCCTTACATAGCTTGCATTCTGCTTCAAGAGATAAAATTAACCCACTTAACATATTGGGAAGATAATCTAGTACTAAAATGTAAGGAATGAAAAGTTCAGTAACAGTTAAAGGTCATCATTATGACCTGGAGTTTGGTGTGGCAGAACTCAACAAAGAACCTCCTCATTTCCCTTCTCAAATTTGGGTCAGAAGTTTATGTTCTAACAAGAAAATGTATGTCAATAATTCTAACATGTATAATGAAAAGTCAGTGAGGTTTTTAGTAATCAGAACCCTGTTTTGCTCCTGGTAAGCACTCAATGTTTACTCTGACTTATTGACTTTAATTGCCTTAAAATGCAAATGTATATTGTGATTCAGAAATTAAAGGGAGATTATTATTCTGGGAAGAAGGAGTCACTTACCTGTGTGAAGTTGCCAGGTTATGTCCAAGTTATGGGTTAATAAAATCTGTGACAGTGATTTTCTCAGTGTGGTCTCCTGATCAGGAACATCAGTATCACCTGGAAACTTGTTAGAAATGCAAATTCTCAGAATTGCTACATTACAAATTTGTGGGTGGGTTCCAGAAATTTGTGTTCTAACAAGCCCTCCAGGTGATTCTGTTGCATACTCAAATTTGAGAACCACTGCCATAAGAGAATTCAGGGTGGCTAATCAAACGTTCTGAGATGGTACCAAAAAGAAAACATAAATTAGGGGAGAAACAGAGTTTCCTAGAGTAAGAATAGTTGAGCCAGAAACTAAATAGATATGTCCATTGTGAGCTTTATTCTTTAAAATACCAAGGGAACTCTGTTGCATTCCTGTACACTAATGATGAAAAATCTGAAAGAGAAATTAAGGAAACACTCCCATTTACCACTGCAACAAAAGTAATACCGAGGAATAAACCTACCGAAGGAGACAAAAGACCTGTATACAGAAAACTATAAGACACTGATGAAAGAAATTAAAGATGATACAAACAGATGGAGAGATATACCAAGTTCTTGGATTGGAAGAATGAGCATTGTGAAAATGACTATACTACCCAAAGCAATCTACAGATTCAATGCATTCCCTATCAAATTACCAATGGCATTTTTTTATAGAACTAGAACAAAAAATCTTAAAATTTGTATGGAGACACAAAAGACCCCAAATAGCCAAAGCAGTCTTGAGGGAATAAAACGGAGCTGGAGGAATCAGACTCCCTGACCTCAGACTATACTACAAAGCCACAATAATCAAGGCAGTATGGTACTGGCGCAAAAATAGAAATATAGATCAGTGGAACAGGATAGAAAGCCCAGAGATAGACCCACGCACCTATGGTCACCTTATCTTTGGTAAAGGAGGCAAGAGAATACAATGGAGAAAAGACAACCTCTTCAATAAGTGGTGCTGGGAAAACTGGACAGCTACATGTAAAAGAATGAAATCAGAACACTTCCTTACACAAAAATAAACTCCAAATGTATTAAAGACCTAAATGTAAGACCAGACACTATCAAACTCTTAGAGGAAAACATAGGCAGAACACTCTATGACATAAATCACAGCAAGATCCTTTTTGACCCACCTCCTAGAGAAATGGAAATAAAAACAAAAACTAAAAAATGGGACCTAATGAAACTTAAAAGCCTTTGCACAGCAAAGGAAACCGTAAACAAGACAAAAGGACAACCCTCAGAATGGGAGAAAATATTTGCAAATGAAACAACTGACAAAGGATTAATCTCCAAAATATACAAGCAGCTCATGCAGCTCAATATCAGAAAACCAAACAACCCAGTCCAAAAATGGGCAGAAGACCTAAATAGACAGTTCTCCAAAAAAGATATACAGATTGCCAGCAAACACATGAAAGGATGCTCAACATCACTAAACATTAGAGAAATGCAAATCAAAACTACCATGAGGTATTACCTCACATGGGTCAGAATGGCCATCATCAAAAAATCTACAAACGATAAATGCTGGAGAGGGTGTGGAGAAAAGGGAACCTTCTTACACTATTGATGGGAATGTAAATTGATATAGCCACTATGGAGAACAGTATGGAGGTTCCTTAAAAAACTAAAAATAGAACTACCATGTGACCCAGCAATCCCACTACTGGGCATATACCCTGCGTAAACCATAATTCAGAAAGAGTCATGTACAAAAATGTTCACTGCAGCACTATTTACAATAGCCAGGACATGGAAGCAACCTAAGTGTCCATCGACAGATGAATGGATAAAGAAGGTGTGGCACATATATACAATGGAATGTTACTCAGCCATTAAAAAAAACAAAATTGAGTTATTTGTAGTGAGGTGGATGGACCTAGAGTCTGTCATACAGAGTGAAGTAAGTCAGAAAGAGAAAAACAAATACCATATGCTAACACATATATATGGAATCTAAAAAAAAAGACGGTTCTGACGAACACTGGGGCAGGACAGGAATAAAGATACTTACGTAGAGAATGGACTTGAGGACACGAAGAAGGGGAAAGGTAAGGTG